GATCTCTGGGCAGCTTGTTCCCCGGGTTCCCAGCTCCCCACGGGCTGAGGTGACCAGCGTGGCTTACTGACCAGCTCTCAGAGGCCCTCCTAGCCTGTCTCTTCTCCCTCTGGAATGAAGGGTCCTGGGGTGTGGAGGGGCTGAAGGAAAACCCGGTGCAGAGCTCAAGGGGCTCCCAGGGACCCAGCTGCATGGGCCACCTGGCTCAGGGTGGGGTGAGGCTTGGCCCCCTCCCCTCTGGAGGGAGGAGACAACAAAGCGAAGGCAGGGATGGGGTGTGGTGAGGAGTTTGTGCACAGACACCAGCTTTGCCGTGTGACCTTGGACAAGTCATTTCACCCGAGTGTGCAGCTTCCTTTTGGACACCCCCTTCCCATGACAAGGAGGATGTGGGGCTCCAGCTAGATACCTAACTCACCTCTTCCCCCTTCTCTGCCATCGAGTTGATGCTGACTCTCAGCACCTGGTGTGTTTCTGAGACTAACCGCTTCATGGGTGTAGAGGGTCTGGTGTTCCTCCTATGGAGTGGCTGGTGGTTTCAAACTGTCGACCTTGTTGCCACCAGGCCTCCTCCAGCTAGACAGTGGATGCGAACATGCCCAGCCCCTGGCTGTCCAGCGGCTTCTGACTCGTGGCGCCCTCAGGTGTCACAGAGCAGAACGGTCGCCATCACTTTCTCGGCTGTCACCTGTCTAGACCCGGTTGGCGGGCCTTTCTTCTGCAGTGCTGCGTGGGTGGGGTCATGGTCAGCGCAAACGCTCTGCGCCACTCAGGGACATGATGGGCCGAGCTCCCCCAGGGCTTCTGGACCAGTGGTGCTGGGGCTGGCTGAGAAGATGGCAGCTGCTACCACTGAAGTGTGGGGCATGTCAGGTGGGGAGAGAAGCTGGGGAGGCTTTTAGTGAGGGGGGATCTGTAGCATGGTAGAGGGGCAGGACCACAAGGCTGCAGGCTGTGACCTGGCAGCCACCGGCTGCATGCTGATATATAGCCAGGGCAGATGGCAGTCACTCCCCCCCCCAAGCCAGGAGGGGGGGCCCCCAAGCCAGCCAGTCTGAAGGCAGTGGGCTTCCCTCCCCGGGGCAGACTTGGAGGAGAACAGAAATAATTCAACCACTGAACCACCATCTTTGTTTTGTTTTTTTTCTTTTTCTCTTTCTCTTTGCTTTTAAAACAATATAGTGCAGACTGCACTTCTCACAGTAGAATATAATGGTCAATTTTAGTATATAAAAAAAAACATTCTCAGAGATTTGTAAATGCACTTAGTGCTGGAACAGGCCTTGGAGAGATGCAGTACCGCTTCCGGGTGCCCTGGGGGCAGGGCGGGGCGGGGCTGGGGGGGGGAATTGGGCCCTGGGGACAGAGGTGGTGCCGGGCCTCCCCGCCAGGTGCTGGGGGCAGGTTGCTCCTGGGTTAAACCCAGTCCGTTGTCCCCTCGATAGTTTCAAGGAGACCCCTGAGGAAGGCAGGGTGGGGTCAGGTCTCCCAAGACGGCAGACCCTCTGCTGCCAGCCCCTGTGTGCGAATTGCGGAAACGGCCCCTTCCTCGGGATGGGGCAAGTCTAGGATGGCCCCGGCGTCCCCCTGGACGAGGTGCCCGTGTGCAGCCCTGTAAGATGTACTGGGGGGTGGGGGAAAGGGGGGTATAGCTTGGGGTTTGGAGACTAGAGATGGGCTTCTGTGTTAGGAAAGTGGGGGGGGGGAGAAAGGACGGGGTGAGGGGAGATCGTTAGTCCTTGAGGCTTCCATCAGAGTGGGCTCAGCCTAGAGTGACTAGTTGGAGGGGGAAGGGGGGCAGTGGGGGTGCAGAGGTTCCCTCTGGGCCCCCTTTGCTCCGTTCCCAGGCTGCTGGGCGGTCTGACCCAGTCCCTAGCCTGGAGTGTCCCGTGTCCCACCCTGGAGAAGGGAGCGAGCCATTCTGCTTCCCAATGAATCTCTCGCTCCCCCCCTCCCCCACCGTGCCTCTGCCGTTGTGGCTGGAGGCGGGGTCAGACTCCAGCGGCTGTCCTCGCTGCTCTCCCGTGTCCTGGGCCGCCAATGCAGGAGGGGTTGTCCTGCAGTCATTGTGACTGCAGCCCTCCTGGCTTCCCCCTCGGGAGGGAGAAGCCACACATCTGCCCTCCAGCCGGACTCCCCCAACATCCCGCCGGCCCATCTGTGCGTGCGCGTGCCCGGCGGGCCTTATCTGTAGACGGGCAGGCGGATGTGGGCATGCTGGTGGTCGAGCAGCCGGGGCACCGCCACTGTCTCATAGCCTTTGCCTAGCATCTGCTCCTTGATGCAGGGCGGCCGGATGTCATTGATAAGATACTCCAGCGACTGCAGGCTGCTGCTCAGCGCTGCCGTGTTGCACATGCTCTTGCTGGGCAGGCCAGCCAGGGCATCCGTGGGGGGCCCTGCCAGCTCTCGGGCCATCCCGGGCCCCAGCTCTGTCACCGTAACTGTCGCTGTGGGGTTGTAGCAGTCGCTGGTGGGGGTCACCAGCACGCTGTTCCAGGGCGTAGCAAAGTATTGGCCCACGGCGAAGTTGGCCGGCAGCCCAATGCCGCAGGTGAGGGGCGATCCGCCGGCCCGCTCGTAAGTGCGCCCAGCGCACACCTCGGGGGACTTGCTGGCCGCCGTGCTGCTGCTGTAGGTACGCAGAGGCTGGGGCAGCGGTGGGGGCGGCTTCTGCGGCCACAACAAGTAATCCAGGCCGCCGTCCGCATAGCCTGCAGGCTTGGCCGCCCCAGCCAAGGTCAAGGCTGGCGTGGCCCCTGGGCCCAGCTCACCGCTGCTGCCCTTCCGGCAGTCTGGCAGCCCGGCAGCGGCCGAGTATGCCAAGCTGGGGAAGCTGGGCGCAGGGCCGTGCTTGGCGGGGCTGGGGTGGGGCACAGCCCCGGCCTGGCAGGCGGCGGGCATGGCCACGGCCTGGCAGGCGGCGGGCACAGCGCCCGGGGCCTGGCACTGCTGGTTCAGCTGGTAAAGGATGCTGTGGATGGAGGGGAGGTTGGAAGGCTGCAGCGGCAGGCCTCGGCCGGACAGGGGGATGACGGCCGCTGGCAGGCCGGCCAGTGGGGCGGGCGCCTCGGGCGGCTTGGGGTAGGTCAGGGACCCCAGAGTGCTGGGCGCTGGGTAGGGGGCGATGCCCACCTGCACAGTGGCCGGCGAGAGCTTGGTCCGCTTGCCCTCGGCGCTCTTGAGCACGCTCTTGGCTGGCCCTGTGGGCACTGCCCCGCCGGCGGCGGCGGAGGAGGAGGAGGCAGCAGCGGCAGCTTTGACGATGGTCAGCAGGCCCTGGTAGCCGGCGGTGTGCTGTGGGTAGGGGCTGTAGCGCTGGCCGCTGGTGTCGTAGCCGTTGACGGTGCGGCTGAGGTGTTTGTGCTGCGGCACACGGATGTTGGTGGGGAAGATCTTGACGGACAGCGGGCTGTTGGCCACCTTCTCGGCGTAGGCGTCCAGCTCAGCCGCGCTGGGGTAGCGGGAGGAATGCATGGAGCTGGCGGCCGGCTCACCTGCGGAGGGAGACAAGCGGGAGGGAGGGAGGGGGCGGCGTGAGGACTCTGGTCGACCTCCCAGGCGGCAGAGGAAAATGACTAAGCCCCTGATCGGTGCTGGTCGACCCACCTCTCCTGGCCTTGATGTCGTCCGTGGAAAACATGTTGGGGAACGGGACATGCTCTGCCACCGTGCCTGCAGAGAGTCCCCCCACCCCCCACCCCTCTCCCAGGCTAAGAATGAACGCCGCCGGCTCCCTGGGACCTCTGCCCTCCCCAGGCTGTTGCCTGGTGGAACGGAATCCTCCGGTCCCCTTCGTTGGCCCCCTTTTGCAGCCGTCTGTGTCTGTGAGGGTCACATGGTGGGCCAACATGGTGGCCCTTGGGGGCTCTCGCTACAGGGCGAAGGGGCATGGTATACTCCCCACTCCTGCTGCTTCTGACCCCCCCTTACAACAAACATGTCCACTTTTCTCTCCCACGTTTAATAATTTATTGTGTTTTCCTTGAAAGTATACCCGGGTGGGCTCAGGTCCCGTCCAACAATTTCTATACAGACTGTTGGCGTGGCACCAGTTACGAGGGGCCAGCCTATACGTGGCCCCTGGTGCATGCATGCCCTGAATTCTATTGGGGACCCACCCAGAAGTGGGGTTACTGGCCTGAGGGGATGCCCATGTTTAGCTTACGGCGCCCTGGTGGCGAAATGGGTAAGTGCCCCATCGGGGAGAAAAGGCCTAGCTCTCCTAAGGACCGCAGTCCTGTAAAACTCTAGGGGGCAGGCCTGCTCTGTCTCACAGGCTCGCTCCAGCCCATGGCGACAGCAGCCACAGGTTGGGCTTTGGGGGACAAAGACGCCAAAGTGCAAGATTGGCTCCCAGCAGCAGAGAGGGGAAGTTCCTACCTCCTCTCTCCCCGCATCACCTGTCTCTTATTGATGACACCCTTGCAAGGTGCTTATGCGAATCATCTGTAAAACGGGATAATGGGGGCCTGCTGACCCAGGGCCAGATTAGGACCCTCAAGACACCCACCTTAGGGTTAGAACTCTTCCCCCGCTGTACCCTGCCCTGGACACCACCCCCTCAAGCATGGGTCAGGGCACTCCCCTGACCGGTTAGGACCCCCGGGCCAGGTTAGGAATCCCAGGGCCGGGTTAGGCATATGACTACGTGAATTGCGCCGGGTGTCGGGAGTAAGGGGGTCACGAGGTGGTGAAAGTGGAGGCTGTGGCCACTGGCTTCAGGGTCAGATGCCCTTGTTCGGTCGGGGAGGATGGGCACCACTTGGCCCCAGAGAGAGCTCAGCTGTCCGCTGCCCAGACATACCTCTGGGAAGCCGAGTGAGCAAAACGAAGCCACAGCAGAAGGGTCCCTCTGCTCCAACCTCACTTATCTGAAATACGCAAATGCAGAGGGGCAGGCAAGATGACTTGGGGTCCTAGGGGTAGGAGGGAGGGGACGCGATTGCTCCAGGGTTACGGTGTTGACGGGGCTGGGGTGGGGGGAGAATCCCACGAAAACAATACAGGTCGCCCAGCATAAAGACAGTGATCTACCACCGAAGCGGGGGGCGGCTGGGGGACGGGACAGGTGGGAATGACCAAATCAGTCAGGGTCCATTTGCAGCTGTTTCCACCACACACCCATACAAAGGTGTGTGTGTGTGTGTGTGTGTGTGAGGAGGGGCTTGAGCCCCTTGCCAGGCTCCCCCATCCTTGCTACCCAGTCCCTCGGAGTCCACCTGTCACCTTCAGCCAGCGTGGTGCCCACTGCCCTTTCTTCCAAGCACAGAACTGAGTGTGAGCTGGGTGACAGGCTAACTGTCCCCCACCAGAGGGGAAGGTGGGTCACTGGTAGGTAGACACCCCCTGCTCCCAAGACCCTTCTGGATGGAGGGGACGGGGCTTTGGAGCTGGCTCGGCTTGGGCGGAGTCCCGGTGTGGGAGCTATAGCCCGGACAAAGCCTACAGTCAGGGGCCCAACTGCTAACCTTCA